GCTGCAGCAAGGACTCAGCCTCCGTACATGGGTCGCCAACTCTACCTACTGAGCTAACCGGGCGCCAAGGACTGACACTTTTGTAATTCTAAAATATTATATAACATGGTTTGCCAGGAATGATGAAATGGCAAATACAGAAGGAAACTCTACGAATGATTCTGTAATTCCCAAAAGAATGCAGCAAGCACAATATGTACAGGAAGCGTTAGTACATCATCTTTCGACTAAGCTGCCACTAACATGTCCACCACCTCATCTCAATCATTAGGTCCTCCATAGCTCGGGCCTCCTCAGTCTCGCTGAAGCGGATGTGAAAATATCCAGGCGACTCCACCTGTTCCACCATGACTTCTACCAGCTCTCGGGCAGCATGACGTGTCGGCTGTTTGAGACGTTGACACTGCAGGGCGTCCAGAGGCACCTGAGGGCTGCAATGCACCTGAAGGGCGGGGTAGATCTCAGACATCTAAAGGTAGACAAATAAAAAGCAGTGTTACAGGGGCATTGATACCTACTTTTTAAGTGCAATGAAAATTCATAGTTTGCACTGGCATCACACCATTTGATACTCTCAGAACACAACATTTATATTTATGTCTCTACCTTAAAGACTGCATAGTAATGTAAAATAATCTGATGAAAAAGAAGTTGACTGACCATTTCATGTGTCTTGGAATTGTTTCTTGTCTGTAGCACCTCATTCTCATCATCTGCTGTGATATTATCAGCATCTCCTTCTGGTTCACCTTCCCAAGGAGACACTCCACAGCTGAAGTAGCTTGTAAATGGGGCCTTCATATCATCACCAAAACTCTCAGACTCCTTGGAGCCTACAAAATTAAAGAAAACTAATTTCATAACATTTACAGCTTTATTTACAGCAACATTAACCAGTGATAGCACTGGCTATAACCACCAAATGAATGGCCCATGTCTATTTTTTCATTCAAGTGGTTACCCATGTGGAACATCAAGTCTGATGATGGAAAGCAAATAATTCTTACAGTAATATAGTTCAAAATATGAAGTACCTGCCATTACACCTAATGGGGTAAACTAGGGTGATTGCTGGTATCTGAACACATACAAACCTGATTGTTTAATGCCACTGTCCTGTATGTCCATGACTATCCAGTGCAGTCCATCTTCATGCCCTGCAGGTTTCAGGTGGAAGATGTCACTCATGGCACTGACCAGTTCGGTGACACTGACAAAGCCGCTCTGTCGCAGTGGTAAGTCCTCACCAAACAGCCTCTGAGCAAAAACAAATAAAGCAGCACAGGCATGTGAGAGACAAAACCACAGCAGTGAAGACGATACATTTTCTTTAGCTGGATCTGGAAAGACTGAGTCCACTTCCTCAAATGAATTAGTGCTTCAAATTTGTTCAATTTGCTTGTAATTAGTCTTCAACTCTCATTTGAAACTATGAAGGTGCACTGCATTCGTTTTTTTTCCTCACCTTGTACTCAGAAGGAAGATCGTGCACTGACAATCCACCACTGCTCTGACCTACAACCTGCAGAGTCATGAACATATTATATTTCAATACAAGACTTGTAACCATGTTTCTTGGTTATTTTCTGCACCACAAAAATTCTTGCCATGAAAGCAAAGCACATTAGAGGCTAGTAGTCACTAGTATCTGCTTATAATCTAGCAGGAAGTCTGACCTTTCGTAGCTTGTCCTTCAGCTCCTGACTAATGGTGCCTGCAACTCCATTCTCAAGGATTTGATGGCGAAGCTCCTCCTCCAGCTGGTGTAGAATTTAAGTGGAAAGAACAAACATAATTGTACTTAAAAAACAAAAATGTGCATGGTCTCTTTTCCCCCTCAAATTCACATTCTCATGTCGTGTTCTAAGCATGACAAATTACAGGTCCAGGTACTCTGTTTTCTTCTTTAAAATAAGAACAAACCTTGAGAACACGTTTCTGAAAGAGCCGACCTTCTTGGCAGAACTCTGGGTTTGCCTCCTGGATTGACTCTTTATGGACAGGGCCCAAGGTAGTCACAGTAGAGGGCTTGCTCAGAGGACTCTGCTTCACTGGGACTTCAGTTGAAGAAAATCACCAAGGTATTTTAATCTGGATAACAATAATGCTACAAAATATCAGAGGCCCCTGCTCAGTGCTTTGCTGTGCAAAAGTCACAATAAATTCATTTTAATATATGGAGTTTCAACAGTGTATTCATTTGTCATTACTGACACACCTGGGGGAATTGTTGGTGTCTGAGCTCTGGTTTCTGGCCCTTTGGAGTCCAACTGGTCGGTTTTAGGTGACACTGGCTTTATTAGTCCAGTCCTCTTCAGTGAACTGACCGGTGTGAGCAGTGGCCTGGGCAGCATATGTTCCCTCAGGGTCAGAACTGAGCCCAGCCTGCCCTGCTGGATAAGGACCAGGTCCGCCGCTGCCTCCAGCATCTCTCCAGTGGAGTAAAAGCCATAGTTGTGGATACGCAGCGGGTGGCCGAAGCAGCGTAGATAGCACGCCTCCAGGTCAGACAACCGCAGTGGACCCTGGGAGAGAGGCTGCATCATTACTTGAAACAAGAAAACATTTGCAGTAACATAGCTAGGGGATTTTGTTAGAAAAACAAACCTATAAAAGCATATACAGAACAGTCAATCAGGCCTCTACGGTACTGTTCTGATTTAATGGGGTGTGTTTGTGTGCAGTGCATTGCAAAACAAAAACAAGAATTCATCATATTTGTCCAATTTCAAGGGGAAGGAGAGTTGGCGTAGGAAGTGTGATTCTGGTTGTCGATAGCTGTTAATTAAATAGCTGAAAAACATCAACAGACCCAAACAGTGCACCTCATTATGGAGGATAAACACAATGCCTATGTTGAGGAACAATGAATGTGAAAATAACTGCTTGTTTGCTAAACTAGAATTACTGCCTTGTGGTTGTATGCCTCCACCAATCAGTCAGGTTTACATTCACATCTGTCCAAACTCTTATAAGCAGTGAAGACTTTGAAGGAATTTAATGAAAGGAATTGAGTATATTTTGAGCTTGTGGTGGACTACAATGCAGTTTACAGTTTCAAGGTGGGCACCAAAGACCAGAGGCACCAACTCAGTATCTGACTTAATGTGAAATATGGTCACAATCTCCTCTTATGTTCCTGAGTTATGACCTTTCGGATATAAAATGTAATCACTTTATAATTTTATCCCATTAGAGTTTAGTTGTCAAATGTTCATAGGTTATGGATTCTTGAGTTATGGCCAAAACGTGTTTTGTAAAGTCACAGTGACCTTGACCTTTGACCAACAAATTCTATTAGGTCATCCTTGAGTCCAAGTGGACGTTTGTGTCAGACTGACTGAATTTCGACTTTTGAATTCCCTCCAGATGTTTCACAGATACCACGCCCACGAGTACTGGACACACGGAAAACATAACACCTCCAGCCACAGCTGATGATACACAGGACATGTTAAAGTCACACCTTGGAGAGCAGTAAGCGGAGCTGGGCCCTCAGCTGGGCGGGAAGAGCCGGAGGAGCCCGACCTCTTCTGGGAAGGACCAAGGATGGGGACTGGGAACAGTAGCGGAGCGAGAAGTAGCTGGTACCTCCCCTCCTGGTCTTCTTAGACGTGCGCTGATTAGCTACCAGCTCCTCGATGTTTCGGGTAGACTCGTCACTAATAGCTGTGATGGTGGACGTATAAAAGTTGTGATCATGAAGTATAAGAACTTTACATGTTTGAGAGGAATTATACATCAAACACTACTATACTTTTTATTATTTTTTTGCTTCATGTTTGACTGAAACAGTATTAAAACACAAATAAATGCTCAAAACAGACAAACCGATATTACCCTTCAAGAAGATGCAGCCATCTGCCCTGAAGTTAATTGAAACCACATCAGGTATCTCCTTCACCATATCCATAATGTTTCTGAAACCCAGGAGTTTCAGGGGCATGGGATGCCCCAACATGGTCATGTAGTCTCGCCTGAGCTGCTCAGGGTCCAAGCCCATCTTGGATGAAATGAGCAAGGAACGAACATCCTTCTTCAGCTTTGCCAAAACGTCTTCCTGGTTCATCTTGCCTGCGGACATCTGGAGAACACAGCAAGAGGAACAATGGAACAAAACGTACTGTACATCCTGAGAGTCAAGTGTGTCACCCATTGGTGTGTGGAGTACCGTTTTGAAGCCTCGAGTTTGGCAATATGGTCGTCGCCATGACAGTTTGTCGGAGCCAGCGGATGTGACGTACTGCGAGTTGATTGGCTGCGCAGTTCCGACTTGTCCGCAACAGGAAACAATGGCGGCACGCCTGGTCACACACAATCTCGTATTACAGCTACACAGTACACTAAAATATGTTTGTGAATAGATTTTAGGCGGAAAATAGGCAACGCAGTAACAGAATCTTGATTTATATTTGATCAGCACTGCCTAGTTTGATCTGAGTTTTGTGTGGTGCACAAGATGGACTTGTCAATCGACCAGGTAGACACGCCCAGAAGTATACCCTGCTTTATGATCTATTTCTCTCTAAATTGTAGCACAATTTACTAAATGAACATCATACTGTATGGAAGAAGACTTGCAACAGCGATAAACTCATTAGAAAAACGTTTACAGTGATAATGAATCAAGTGAGAAGTAGGGTTGTATCTCCATAAGATTGCATTATATTGGTTTTTATTGCAGCCAATGGAGCTGCCCCCTGCTGGCCATTACACAGAAGGCAGATTTAAGATGTGTCCATTATATATTCAGTCAATAGTTGAAGTCTGCAGTGTTGAAATAAAACTTACAAATACTAGAATATTAATTGCTTTGACTGCCAAAAGACGAGTTACTTTTTTTTTTTGTTCCAATACAAAATCATATGGTTGAACTTTTACAGTTTTTATAAATATAAATAAATGGACACAAATGTCAGCAGATGGCGGCAGTTGAGGTAATGGCGACAAATTCAGCCTTTTTCTCCTTCGGCCATCTTTAATCGTTAACGTGTCTTCACACATTTCACCATATTACAGGTGTTACCACAACGTCTGGAGGTAAAACGCCGAATTTACACCATAAAACGGAGGGTAAAAACACTAGCCAGCCAACACCACTGCCAATTACACATGACTCAACAGCTGAATTAACACCACTTAATAATAACGCAGTTAATGTGGACTCCCAATGAGGTAGTTAGCTGTCGCTGCGTACATTTTAAACAAATACATTATTTAAATACAGACCAGTCTTGTTTAAAAAAAAAAAAAAAATGTTGCAAAAAATACTGCAGACATACCTTTACTCCCTCAAAATCTTCAATATCTTCGCCGCATCCTCCAAGGATATCGGGACCTGTCGCTCTCTCTGCACACCTGGTAGCGAGCAGGCCACAAGCAACCGGTATCTTATGTCGTATTAATCGAAAAACCTCTGCTCAATACAGCTTAAAATAAATAAAAACAGAAAAGCTATTTCGTTTTCAGTTAGCTGCTTAACTAAGTAGGATAAACTCGGTTAACTTAGTAAGTTTGCCGTCGCAGCGCCGCGAACACAGATCGTTTGTTGTAGCAGTGATGATCCACTGTTTGCTCAAAGGGGAAATCAATACACTGACGATTGTGTTACAGGACAGGAGGGTGGCATGGAGGATTCAAGGTTGTAGCAGAAATAGGAGCTGATTTAAATGCAAAAAAAATCACATTTATTAATATTTGCTTGGGAAAGTTCCCAAATGAAGGTATTTAATTACTCAAAATAATCAAATTATTGTGGCAGATGTGTAAAGTAATAAATAAGCATATCTAAAGGTGGCAATCAAAGTCAGAAAATTGTTTTATTTCCAAATCTTCAGCCATTTCTCCAGTTGTATGTGTTTTTTTCATTGAACTTAAAGCATGTTAGTGAAGTTTAAAATGTGGCTATAGTAGATCATTACATTAATTTCTATTTTTTATTAATCTAAATTAATGTGATGAATTTGACAGCATTTGACACCAAACGAGGGGGGCAGCTGGGGGTGTCCAGGCATTTAAAAAAAAAAAAATCTGAACTGTAGAGCCACTATCCTTTCAACTGCCTTGGTTTGGACATAATTAATTTTCAGTTTAATTAAGGACACATTAGGGAGGATACTGTGTGTCATCTGTAAAAACAGAGAAAAACTTCATCAGCTCTTGGAAAAGGGGAGCCCTGAGTCTGCACATTCCCATTGAAGACACACTGTGACTCCCTCAGCTCCACTGACACATATTGCTCCATAGTAAACGCTGAATCCTGGCCACAACCCTCTCTGGGTGGCACTGGTATTACCAGGGAAAAAACACAATCCAAACAAATGGACCCAGAAACACAGAGATTTAGGGGTATAACTGTTTTAATTTAATATGTCTGCATGTTTTATATTTAATATGACATGCACTCAAATAGCTTGTTCTATACATAATTTACAGGATGCCCACTGGCTCCACCAACGTGTGGGCCATGTATACTTTTATGTAGTAGATATGCTACTGTGTTGTCTAACAATCATGTGAGAATTTTATAGTCAAAGATTGGGACATTTTTGAGTTTCCTGTGACAGAATCAAGAGCTTTCAAGACGCAACAGCTAAAAATATTGGATTGCGTAAAAAAGAATGAAAAACCTTATAGTGGAGCAATTTTTTTTTTTACCCATAAAGGACTTTTGGATAACAAGTAGCAAAGAATATTTTATATATAATAATAATAATAAATAATATTATAATTTATTTATACGTTTAAAACAACTACTGTTGACCAAAGTACACGATATAACAATGGCAAGCAAAAATTCCACCAAAGTAGTGATAAAAAAGACACATCTATATCAATAAAAATATATAAATATATATAAAAAATCAGCATTGTTATGTCTTTAAAATATGAATCTGAATCTTGGAAAAAGAAGAAATGAGATGGTCTTTATTTGCTTGAGATGAACAGCACATGAGAATTTGTGTTTTTCACATTATTATCTTAACATTTTATTTTATTCTAGTTTGCTGCTTTGATCACAGCTATTGCATATCCTGCTCACAAAGGTTCACTGACCTGAAATTATTTGAAAAACGGAGGTGGTAGGATGGTAAGTGGCACTCCCACTAGCGTCATACTCCCACAGTCCAACACTAAGTCTGACTTAGACGGCAACAGCACTAACTCCAGTTACAGACCTCTAAGCCAGAAGAAACAACTCACAGCAGTGAAAGTCACAAAATCTCTTCTCTGCTTTCACCTAAAAAGAAAACCCTCCACTAACCCATCAAGCAGAAACATCCCAACAGCCGCTTCTCTATGCAGAGCCTCCAGCCAGTATGGAGAAGTCCTCCGATGTCCACCCCAGTCACCCTCCAAGATCCAGAATGACACCCAGGAAGGAGAGGGAGAGGGGAGCCCTGGTGCCTCCCAGAAGTCACCGACAAAGACCATCGAAGACAGGCCGGGTCCCTGAGGCACCACCAGTGAGGAAAGAGAGGCTACAGAAGGAGAAGCCAGAGACAAACAAGGTGAAAGTGGAACAGGAGACAGAAATGAAGGTGCCATCCACTGTGGTTGACATCGACAATGTGAGAGAGGATGAGGTGAAGGAGGAGAACCTGGGGCTCCTGGAAGCAGCAGAGCAGGAGGACGGTAAGTCGAAGCCTGAAGAAAAGCCTGGTTCACTGTATATTCAGTGGAGGAAATATTAACAGTGGTTTTATTCTTTTTATGGGTTGTTTGATTTTTTTCTGTACGTGGAATTTTCTGAAAACAAATTACAGATAATAAAATAACCAGTAATGTAAATTCATGTATGTGATGATACAAATAAGGTCAATTATTAAAAAAATTACTCTCAATTCTATTTAATTTGAGTATCTTGGTTGGATTCCTTATACTTAAATACTGTTGATCTCTGCAGGTCTAAAGCGCAAGAACCTGGGAGTGTTTGAGTGGCTGCTGATGGTCTTCGTCTTGGTGCTGGTTCTCCTCTTCTTCCCTTTGTCCATCTGGTTCTGTGTAAAAGTACGATCTACAACACAATCTAATAGACCCTCTAGACTAACAAGTCTAATTTGCCATGGAAGGAGTTGGTAACCATCAAAGACTTTGTGTCATTCAAGTTTCATCTGAGACATTTTTCTTAATGGTCAAAATGCTGTTTCGACCTTTTCCACCTCCCATAGACGTAAAATATTTGGAGAAATAAGTGAATGTTGGGAATTCTTAACATGAAACTGGGCTTTTTAATCAAAAATGTGTCACATTGTAACAATACTTTCTGACTACACTGTTTGTTATTATATAAAAACATTGTTTAAAAGCTGACCTACTTGTGTGTTATATCAATTAGACACTCCAGTCTTCCACTTATATGGACTGACTGATGTCTCATATCCTTTTTGATTGACAGGTCGTGAGGGAACATGAGAGAGCTGTGATCTTCAGACTGGGTCACCTACTGCGTGGAAGACCCAGAGGACCAGGTTGTCACCAATTACTATAATCTTTAATTCTCATCTGTCAGTGGTGATTTGCTGACTAAACTGCTGACTTACCATTTCTGAGCATGTGTGTGAAGAAGCAGTATTTGAATTGTGTGATTGTTCAGCTATAGTCATACACACATAGCGAACAACTTGTTTTTGTCTGAGATATCTTGTTTCCTATCACACAGACGTAAGAGAAACATATTTTAAAAAACAGTTTATTTTAGAAATCTGTCTTTAGGTCAAACCCTTGTTCTCCCTCTATCCAGGCCTTCTTTTCTACCTCCCACTCCTAGATGTGTGTCACAAGGTCGACATCCGACTAAAAATGCTGAAGGTTCCTCCTCACACGGTACAAAATAAGCAAAAACACAACCGACATATTCAAATTTAGCTCTATATGTAAAAATTATTATGAACGAACTGTCTACTTTATATGCACTTTGCTTTCTCTGAACGTACATCGTAAATCTTTCATAGCCCATAAAGGGATCAGACTTATTTGTCACTGGCTAGTAAACTTCAACAGCCACTTCCATTATAGTACATTCACAGAAGTTTACATTAAAGTGTTCTGAACTATTTTACCTAATTTACCAGAGAGTGGAAGGATTTTATTGCATCAGATTGCTGACTGACATTTTCCTCATATGTCTGTACCCAGGTGGTGACAAAGGACTTGGTGAGGCCAGAGCTGAGTGCAGTGTGTTATTACCAGATAGAGAATGTGGCTTTATGCAGTGCAGCTCTGTCTCATCTAACCCCAGTGCTGCAGACTCTGGTCCAGGCAGTGATCAGAGACATTCTCGCCCAACACACATTCAGCCATATCCTGCTGCACCGGAGGAACATCGGACAGAAGATACAAGCAGGCGTCGACTCTGTTGCTTGCCGCTGGGGCATCAAGGTGGAGAGAGCAGACATGTAAGACTGGTTATTTGTTGTAATTTATCTTTTTTGGATGAGCCTTCCTCAGCTGCGCCTGTGGCAGTAATCGATTCTGGTCTACCATTTGTTACTGTGGGTGTAAACTGACCTTGGTTCCTCTCCTTCACTGGGTGACCGTGGGTTTCTGTTGAACACTATGGCAAAAAAGTAGCTGCGGGTAGAAGCTCTTGCACTTTGATTTTGAGGGCCTGACCTCAAAACTAGCTGTTAAAAGCTGATACTTTAAATGGCTCAAGAGATTAAAGAGGATTATTGAAAAAGAAACATCATCTCAAAAGAAAAATAAGCTGATTTACAAAAGGGTGGCATTGCCTCTGAAAAATGCATCGCTGTCTGTGTGCAAAGGATTTTTCCTCTGCATGCAGTGATTTTTCCAGGTAAACAGCAACGAGGAATGTAGAGATTTGTAGCGTGCTGCAATCTTTTACTGCTGACCAGGCTTGTGTTTGATTTTCTGTCAGAGACGAGCTCAGTTTTCCTGTGGAGTTACAGCAGAATCTGGCTGCTGAGGCTGAGGCCAAGAGACAACACCAGGTCAGGGTGAGTAACTTTACCAGCTTTTAAAAATCTAATGTTTATCATTTAATATTTGAATGCTTGTTTTTTGCATTTTTAAAGTGTATGGCTCACAGATTTTCAGCATTATTTGTAAAACTTTTGGAATATAGGTAGAATAAGTAAGAAGTTGAACTATACTTAAAATAGCTGTTGTATAACTTTGGCAAATCCTACTGTAGTGGTAGTATACTGTAAAAGACAGCAGCTGACAGCAAAGAAAGCCAGTGGCTAATCTCTGTTCCAACACCTTGCAATGCACTGTTTCCATTTCAAACCATTTTGCTGTTTTTCTAGCCCAGAGCATAAGTTTGGTTTAGTCTGCAAAACAATGGGTCTTTAGTCCTGCCAAAGTTTAATTCTGCATTTTCTGCAGAAATGTGTTTCAAACAGCAGTCCTTCTCTCCTCCAGGCAAAAGCAGCAGAAGGGGAGAGAGATGCATGGGAGGGGTTCAGGGCTTCCCTCCGTCTCCTCCATCCTGCCCTGGTCCTTCCACTCCCCCCAGATCTCCTCAGTGTGACCCCTGACCTTTCATCCTTACCACCCCCTCCTCCTCCTGCTATAGAAGGAGAGGGAGGGATGACAGAGACAGACTCGCCAATGATGTGACAGACTGTTATAAAATGAATAATTATTATAATATTCATAATAATTAATAATTATAATTATTATAATTTTCTGTACAATATATATATATATATATTATATATAAAATAAGTTCATAGCAAACGTTTGCAAATGTGCTTTGAAAAAAAGTCTAACATTTTGAAATGTAATGTCTGCAGAAACTTTATTTTGTTTTAAATAATTTGCCTTTATATGCAAAGACACATCACAAGGTTAAACAAAATCACAGCAAGCCATTATGTAAAGATCACTATATTTACTCTCATAAACAGAGTGAATATTGGACCTTTTCCTGGTACTGGAGAAATGTTATACTTGGACGGCAGCGCTGATAAATGATGCTTCTCGTTAATTCTTGTTTTTTGATTCTTGCATCCTTTCCTGGAGTGCAGGCGAAAAGTTTCTCTTGTGTTGCAGCACACAAAATACATGAAACATAAAACCCTAAATGTGACAACTGGAAAGTCCCATACATGCATATAAGGCTGTAACACCTCCAGATCACCGTTTCTTGGTCCTTTTGGTGCTGCTTGATGTTTTGGCTTCAGCTGTGGTTGTCTTCGGAGGAGCTGGAGGTGTAACTGGTAGTGGGGAAGGTGTTGGTGTTTTCTTTTTCTCTGTAACACAAACAAAGACATGTTTAACTGTAATACTGTGTCACTGTCTCTCTGACTCTGTTCTAAGTTTATAGAATTTCAGTTTAGTCTGTACCTTCACTACTTTTAGGCTCTAGACTGGGCGGACCCTGCAGTTGTGTTTCTAGGTCCCGAATCTTCTCCAACGCTGCCTGTAGGGCTTCTTCAGCCTTCAGGGCTCGCTGCTCGGCACTCTGGACTTGCAGCTCTGAATCACTGACGAACACATGGAGAGAAATCTAACCTAGATGTTCTTTGCATATACACAAGTCAATAAAGGTCCTTTTTCCATTTCTGAACAGCTGCAGAAACACGGCTGATGTGTGGACATTCAACAGATATATATGGCTGATGGTGACTGAACTCGACAAAAAATCATATATATGCCCTTCTGATGGGATTTTGCCTAATAAACTCCAAGTGTTCAAGATGTAAAAGTGTGTTTTTTACTAAATGCAATACTAAAGCATTGATTTTCAGCCATGGTAGTAACTGCTACTCATACTAGTTTACCAAAAATGTTCCACTCAAAGATAAGAAACTTACTGCAGTTCCTGCTGCAGTAATCCTACTGTGGTCAGATCGCTAAAGGCTTTCTGGGCTTCATCTGTCACTGGAGACACAACCAGCTCCTCAGTCTAACAGAGACAGACAGGCAGATTGTTCAGTTAAGTACACAGCTAAAAGCTTGGAACTAACACTGGAAAAGTGTGTGATTTATCTGTCTGACCCCACTCAGGTGGATACTGCTCTCTCCCAGCTTTCTTTGCGTAATGTTCCCATCATAGCCAATCAGCTTCACCACTGGGCTCTCACAAACCGTTAGCTCCCCCTGCAGGACAATAACAATTAGTTTTTAGCAAGTCTAGTGAATACTGTACAATGAACGTATGACCCATTTATAAAATTCCCTGTATTCTTAAAGAGTTTATTTAATTCTCTAAAACTGTTCTGTCTTCAACATAAATCCAAATACTCCAAAATATTTCCTGACTTGAGGTAACAATGAATATAATGCAGAGCAATACATATTTGTTTAATGTTGTCTTTTATCACACAAAGCTCTATAACCTTCACCATAAATGTCTAGTTTCACAGTTCCAGACAATCCAAGAATCTTTGTTTTTGCAGATCAGACTGCAGACTACAATTTATCAAAGTACACTTCATTAAAACTATGTTAATACCTGACAAACCTCTTGTTGTGCTTCATATCCTTCAGCAGTGCACTGTGGAGAAACAATAGTACCATCACTGCCCTTGTCATTATCATCATGAACAACATTAATATGGAAACAGTTATTAAATACCTTATCTACACATTATGCATTCATACACAATATTACTGTACATTATGGTTATGAGTGATCATAATTCACATTATAAAATAAGCAGAAACAAAACAGTACTGGTCAAAATTTTAACTTAATGTCATTTTACCTACATAATAGTTATTTATAACATATTCAGGGATACACTAATTAAAAGAAAAAGGCAACTTAAGAAAGCCAAATTCCCACGCCAATTCTTGATAACTTTAACAGAGAAGCAATAGACAAAATCCTGACTGGATACATAAGGGATAGGGAATGTGCATGGCCCAGGACAGGAAGACTGCAGCAGGTGATTAAAACAGATCGTTGGTACTCAGCTACCCAGCATCAGTGATATTGGTGCGGTGAGATGCCTGTCCAAGCCACAGCCTGTCAACCCTGCTGACATCTGGGAAGAGGTATAGAAGCGTCCGCTGCTGTACCACCAGACTTAAAGACAGCTTCATCCCTTAGGCTGTGAGACTGTTAAATTCTTCCTCAACACTTCATCACACAAATTAGCATTTAGTTTTATTTTTATGACTCATTAATTATATTTTATTCTGTTTTAAAAGTAGCCTAAAGGGAACTACTATATCTGAATTTCATTCTACAACCGTGCTTTGTAAATGACCTTAAATAAAATATAACCTTGAATCCTTGAAAAGTTTACCGTTTCACATTAAAGACCTTGAGGGTTTATAAATTGGTTTCTAGACACACTAAAAGCACAGATGACCTAAACAGTGAAACCTTAATGGTTCTCAGTGCCTTGCTTTGTGAAAGGGCAGATATTTGCTGACACAGGAGCTTCAACCTTGATCCTGTGGTTAAATAACAGATAGTCTAACTACTAGATCTTAGTTCCCTTTATCATCAACAGCAATGATGCCTTTTCTTCCTTTGTTTACCTCACTAGAAAATGATAAATGCTTTCTTTAATTATTTAAATGTTTGGATAAACTTATTAATGACTCACCTCTTTCAGTTCTGCCTCAGTCTCATTTTTGTCTTCACTGTCCACTGTAGGCTCTGCTAAAATCTCTTCATTCACCTGTAAAAGCTATCATCAAATTTAAAAAATCAACATCAGCAGGCTTTCAATTCATTTTCATTATTCAATTGGAACAAATAAGGTGAAATCAAGTGTGTTGTATTTTGAATGACTCCTCACCAGAGTCTCCATGCTGTCTGAGGGAGAGGCTGGGACATCACTGCTGGAGGCGGGATCAGCGAGTCTGACAGGCAGCTCCACAGGACCACCTTTCACTCCCAAGAGCAGGATTATACACGTCTCCACCCAATTATTGCTTTCTCTCTGAAGATGGACACAACACACACAGGTGTAGGTTTTCTTAGCTTACTTTATCCTAATCTGTAACTGCACTATGGCTCCCTCATTGGGAGTTTTATAATGTTTGTACAAAAAAGAGTAGAACAGAGCTGCGTAGAAAATGACAGTGGGTGATTAATTGCATCCTTTGGCAGAAAAAATGTTTGGACAAAAGAGTGCAAATGTTTCCTTTTTTCTTATTGATACATTTGCCAGTTGATTTGATGTAAAACACTTAAAACATTTATTTAATTCTGCATCAGAACATTGTTTACCTGCAGCTTTCTGCACTCATTCATCTGATTTTCACTCTCAACTTCCTGCGAGTTCTGCAGAACCTGTTCTTCCAGAATCAGCTTGCAAGGGCTGAAGTAAATAACAAACATTTCTTGATGAGACAATCCTGGAGAAACCCCTCTTCTGATTCATGTTGTGTCAAAGGAACTTTCAATATTAAAGTATACTTTAGCCATCATTTCATTTCTGTGTCTTGTTAGTTATGTATGTAAAGAGGTTATTACTGCACTCTGTAAAATTCAGTACTCACTTCAAACAAAGTTTACTTTTTGTACTATGCATTAACTTTCAGTTACTCTGGTTAACAGGATCTGATCCAACTGTAAATACTCTGGTACCTTGTGATGTGTCTGGAAAAATAGTCCAGTTTCTCAGCCAGCATCTTGGCATCCTCATCCAGTGTCTGTAGTGAGATGTTCATATTGCAATAGGGTTCCTGTTCTTGGTTCTGGTCATCACTATGGTCAGGTACCATGAGGAGCAACAGTTCCAACATCCAGCGGGTCTGAGCCATGTGAATGGAACTGATCTGGTAGGAGAGGAAACACTAAAACTCAAGACAGCACCTTGTCACATTACAGCAAATCTTCTGAACATTTGAACTGGGACTTGGGATTGAAACTGCAACTGCTATGGTAGAGCTGCTCAGTGATAAACAGCACAAAAAAGCAGTATCAGTAATTGCATGATTGTGAGGCAAGCTATTGTTGGAAAAGAACAACAAATAAGTTATAAGACAAAACAGAAATCACAGAAAAACAATGAAGAACTGAAAAGGGCGGTAGGTACCTAGAAGAAGAGAAACGTAGATCAGAGCCATTGCTGAAGAAAGAGCTCAAGATGTGAAGCTGACAGTACGAAGGACAGGGCAGAAAGAGGGAAGAACTGGAAGTGAAAAAGAGAAAAGGACTGATTAAATAGATGAATAGATTTCCAACTCAAAATGGTGATATATCAATTTAGATTTAGATTTTAAAATCTAAATAGAAATATGGCATATTTTGAAAAAAAAACAAAAAACTCTTTTGTACTCATTTGTCGTTCTCATTCAGATTTATTTCCGATGCAATATCTGAGCATCACATTCACGGGGCTAATGTGTTTGTTCCAGAACACTTGATGCAAATGCACTTAAGGGATATTGTAGTTTCTGCAGCATTTTCAAAATGTGTGTAATCCTCCCTTGACAGTTTGCCTGAACCTGGTTGGTACTCACCTCCTCGCTGAGTCTCTGGCTCTCACCATCAGTAAAGTTGGATAAGTTGGTTATGAACTCCTGCACTTTGTCTGACACCTTTTCTGCCTCTGTGCTGTTTGAAGAAACGCACACAACAGAAACAAAGAATGAACGCGGAGTATTTCAATTTCAATATGTGTTGTTGCCTTGATTTCTATTTAAGTTGTATCTTTTT